AATTAAAAAGTGGTTTATCAAATTGACAAATTCCAATTCTTGATCCCATGTGTATATATATTTGTGTGTTCTGCAAGGGTTGGAAGATACGAAAGAAGTAATCAGAAAAGGAGAGAAGGAAAAGGGAGAGAAAGAAAAAATAGAGGGATAAAAATAAAAATATTTATTTGTTATCAAAATAACAAAAGAGTGATATTTTTATTCATATTTGTAAGTGCTCAATTCTCGACTCCGTTCTAGTTCGCCGGAGCTCGTAAATCTGGTGTGCTACAGATTTAGAGACGTTTGCCGTTGTATCTTTGGGGAAGTTACGCCTGAACCGTTAGCAACACACGGGTTCTTCTTGCGGAAAGAGTTTTACTCGCCTCGGCTATAATAATTCCATTTTTATTTATTTTCAGTTGTAATTTATTTTTCAGTTCAATTGTAATTTTTTACTTTTTAGATTATTTGTAAGAACTGAAAATTAAATATCAGTTCGTAGGATTCCCGTGTAATTTTTATGACCGTTTTTAACAATAATTTGGGCAATGAGAACTTCAGGAGACCAAAGTAATAGTAAACCGCCACTCAAGCCTATTGGATCCACCAGGGAATATCTATCTTCATAGCCCAATTTCTTAACAACAGATTTGACAAAAGAAGAAGAATTTTTAGTTTCAGAGAGAAAGAAGAAAGTTGGGTGGTGAGATTTAAAAATCTCTTTGATTTGGGAAACTGTCGAGGGCCCACCCAGTCCTCGACAGTTCCACACTGCAGCTAACATTTGTCACTCGGGTGCCACTCAAGGCTGGCAACCTCCACCTTTTCTTTAGACGCCTTCAACTTCTTCTTAGTTTCAAGATTGGTGTCAAAGTCATTTTCCGCAGTTACAGGTTCTGTGGTTTCAGGGAGTGATCTTTTGCCATAGAGAAATAGGGCCGTTGAAGTCTTGAGGTCATCTTGTCTGGTGAGCCGACCATCTTTACTTGCAGCTCTTTTCTAGGTTTTGAGTTGAGGTTTGATTTGATCTGTCATGAGCAGATCTCGAGAGTATGGTAGGATTGCAGTTATAGGATCCTGTGAGGCTTGTGGAACTGTTGATAGTTCCAACTTACTATTAACTGGTGTTGGTTTGGTTGGCTGGTTAATCACTAGGATCATCTATGATGAAGGTTGGATACAGTCCTGGGAGTTAGTAGTTGGATGCACTGAAGGGGAAGTATTAATGACATTGGAATAACAGACTTCGGGTTGGACATTATGAGTGGCTTCTTCCTCAACAACCAAAAGTTGGTTGCTTTCTTGAATGTGACTAGTTGATGTTTTTAAAGGAGATTGTGGCATTGGTGTGGATGGTGAACCAGAGGGAGGTTGATGAAATCCAGATAAGCTTGTTCTTGCCCAGTGCTGATTATCTGAAGCTCGCATCCAGTCGCCAAATTCGCCTTCTCGCAATGAATTGTTAGCAATGTCATCTATCTTTTTTTGGCAGCTTTGGTCCAAGTGTCCGATGAAGCCGCAATAGTGGCACATGTTGACGAGCTTTTCATATTTGAAGCTTACAGTGACCAGCTGGTCGCCCAATCTTATAGTGGCACATCTGGGCAGAGGCTCAAGCAGATTAAATGAAACAAGGAGTCGAAGAATCTTGCCCCCATGACTTCCAGCTCCGACCACAACTGCATTTTTCAGATAAGGGAAAACTTTGCCGATTTTTAGGCCAACCTCTGTGCTTAGCCAATTTAAAGGTACATTGAAGACTTGCACCCAAATTGGCAGTTCTTGAAATACTGGGTGGTTTGCAAAGAGTTTTTCTCTCCATTCCGATAAGAGGAGGAATTGATTATCAATGGTCCAGTTCGTACCTTTGGCAACTCTATCCAAATCTTCTTTGCTTTGAAATATAAACTGAAAAAAAATTGCACCCATCTCCTTCACATCCATTGGTTGGCGAATCCTTCAATTTGGCTCATAGTACGCTTCACACCCATCCAACTCACTGTGCGATCTCCGATTATTTTACCGAATAAGCTACGGCGGCACTCGTCGGCACTTAAGCGTATGTCGTCATGGGCTAAATCGATTATGACATTTTCTGTTGCAGATAAGGAAAATCCTTTGAGACGCTGCGCAAGATCCTCATCCTGGCCGATGCACGATTGGTTGGCCATCGCTAGAACCCTAACCCCCACATCAACACACCTTATACCTTCAGAAAGTAGATGGCTGGCAGCAGAGGGAAAGTCAGTAAGAAAATCACCAACTTACAATTCAATGAACTTATAAATATTTTCAACTTTTTCTTCTCATGCAAAGCCGTTTAATACCTAAGTTTACCAAATAAACAAAAAGTTCTTGTTAGAAATCTTCACCAAGGATATGTTTCTAAAATACGACTCTTCAATTATTGGGTTGTTGGTGTTCTTGCTGAGGATATCTTCTCTTTTTCCTCTTTCTTTCTACTAGTACGTAACCCGTGCTATGCACGGGATGTAAAATTTGGAAGAATAATATAACCTCACGTGCATTAAGATCGAAATTGAAATCATTAAAATACATAGGAACATTGTTGAATCATAAAAGGTTCGGTAACAATCATATATTATTAAAAACCTTCTTGTACACAACATTATGAGTTTGATTATTTAGTAACTCCTCATTATCACAAACTAATATTTTCAAAAGAGACAAATCCTAAAAATCAAACTAATATTTTTGGTGAACAAACCAATATTTTAGGATTGGTGAACAAACTAATATTTTAAGATTTCTAGGATTTGTCTCTTTTTGGTGAACAAACTAATATTTTAGGATTGGTTATATGAATAAGACTACCTGTTTTTGGTGTTCTTTTCATTCATTTTCATTCAAACAATCCGATGACTTGTATAATGAAATCCGAATCTTAAGCCGAAATATTTAAAAAAAGAGTTTTTAAAAATTGAAAAGTCAAGGCAATCAGTTCAGATTAATTAAAAGTCAAAGAATATCCGCTCCTTGAAATAAAGACGTGTGCTATCATTAACCAAATATCCGGTTATTGATATAGAGTGGTTACCAAAAAATAGAACCCGATAAGGACGCTTCATGGAAATATCAATGGGATAAAGTCATAACAGATCGCTATATATTTTAACGATAAAAGCTCAGATATATATTTTAATGATAAAGCTCAGATGAAATGATTTATGATAATTATGTCGTAATTAATGAATTAATTAGATGTGTGAAAATGACATAATTAATGAGAAGTGTGAAAATGACATAATTAATTAGAAGTGTGAAAAGGACATAATTAATTAGAAGTGTGAAAAAGACATAATTAATGAGAAGTGTGAAAAAGACATAAAAGTTACCGATTTTGGAAAGTAATTAATGCAAAACTGACTTTGACCATTAATTAAGTTACTAATTTTGATAAATGTTAATTCTTATTATATAAGTATAGATCTGTAAATTTTCTATCTTTGACTTAGTAACCTGTTTTAGACACTTCCAGATCTTGTAGGTCTTGTAGGGGAGCTCTTATTGATGCTCCCCCTGTTTTTGTAACCATTTGGTAGCCTCCTTTGTACATTGCAGTTTTCTGTTATATATCATTTAAGGTTTGGTTAAAAAAAAAAAACTCTTCAATGAAATGAAAATCATCAACTATATATCCGAAGTTTCTAGAAATCGCATAAGAATCACATTATTTATTGTTGTGGAATTCTCCAAATCTGATTAGCTATTTAGCATATCTCCTATATCCTTTCAATCTTCTTAAGAAATTAGCTAATTTGGAACCCATAAATTTTTGGTAATAATGAGTAAGGTATTGTTTTATTTACAAAAAATAATATATTAATATTTCACAATAATATCATACTAGAAAATTAAGGGGCCCATCTAATATCATACTAAAAAATTGAGGGGCCCATATATATNGTTTAATTTATGTTGTTTATCAAATAAAAAAGTAATAAGAAAAACCGTTAAAAAACTGCGATTAAAATGTAAATTATTGGAGAAGTTACACCGTTAAATTAAAATGGAGAATGCACTACATTTATTCAATTGCAAAAGAGTTTCGCAAATTCTAAAACAAGGTATATCATGCAACATTTTCAAATCACTTGACCCTATTTTAATTAAGTGAATCTTACAAGTTCTCTTGGAATTGTTTTATTTAATGTTGTACACAATTAAATTTACGAAATTTGTGTTACATACACCATACGTTCCATAACAGACGATTAATATATCACGCCACTTCAATCTTTACTTAATATATTTTTTTTTAATTTTTACACGATTTTTTGATCATCTATTATTATTAATATATGTCAAATTATGCATTGGGTGGTTCCCAAACTAATTCAAACAACTAATATGAATATGAATATATGATGCGATTTTCCTTAATTTCAGGCCACGAGTCATTCGTCTCTACAAAATTAAATTAATTAACCACTATGTGTATAATATAACGCATAAAGTCGCACACATTTTATACGCTCCCATGACAGGCCTGCAACAACATTTGATGCCATAATTGTAGCTGCATAATTGCATTTGAGAAGATAAACAAATGATGCAAGTGGGTTATTAATTATACACATCATCATAATTATTAATTTTCTTCTAACTTTTCATTACTTTAATGTGCATTGACAAGAAAAACAAGGACCATGTTGTATATTTTACTTTGATATCCACCAAATTTTTTTCTATGTAACGTTTTAGCCGTCAGATCAACGCACACTCGTGAAGACAAACGAACCAATGATGGTCTTAAAATGGTGAAAAGTTCAAAAAAGAAAAAAGAATAAAAGAGTACAATTATTTCATCACACTACCAACAAGCAGCAAAAAAGATATATAATTACGACAAAGTATCTCACCTACATAGATAAAATCCATAACAAGGATTAAAAAGAAAAAGAAAAAGAAAAAAAAAAAAAGAGTAGTTTGTGACATCAAATTTGGTTGTAAATTGTAATAGCATAGGGGTTGCTAGTAGTATTGTACATTTTGTGCTACATATCGAATTTGGAACACTTGATGGAGCCCATGTAGATATCAATCTCAATCAAATTATCCTCCTCAGCAGACAACAATTTGCTGCAGCTGAGATCATCTAAAAACATAGGAGGACCATCTTTCTCAGGCACAAAGTGGCCACTGGGGATTGCGATTTCGATCAGTCCCTCCTCATCCGATATCGGGCCTTCTTCCTCCGACAACTGTTCCTCCTCGCTCGAGAATTTGTCGTCACTTGATAAGCCCGGCTCGTTTTCATCGCCTCTCGGCTTTTCCTGTGTCTTAGTGTCGTCGTCTATGGAGGCTGTGGTAGTAAGGGTATTTTCGTCTGATGATGAATTGTTTTCGATTGCTGTTTTTAGGGTTCGGTTTGAGGATTTGAAGACAAGGGGAGTAACTGAAAGAAGGATGAGAAGCAGAGATACGCTGATTGGAAAAGAAAACCTTGCGAATAAGACCGCAAGTATCGGTAAAAGAAGCGCTAGTCGGGTTTTTGAGGCCATTTTTTCTGTTTTTGTGTGTGAGTGAGTGAAAATGAGGTTATTGTGAATGGACACACAGTTAAGCAGGTGTTCTTGGCTGGGAAAAAGGTATAGGGCTGACTAAAAANATACATATAAAAAGGAAAGTAGACTTACTGGAAAAGAGGGAAGATGGCCATTTGAATACAGTGGACTTGGGAAAAAGCGTGTTGAAAGATAAAAGGCAAATAATGAAACAAATTGAGCAGATCAGATGAAATGTAAATTCATACCAGAAGCTCAAGAACTACTCTGGCCAGTCGAGAAAAGAGAAACATAAAATGGTGTTAAATAATCTGAACTCTCTTTTTGGCGCTTGATGATGAGTACATTTAATTAATAGAGTATGCATGAAGAGAGGACAGGTGTAGATGAACTGGTTTATTGGTATTACCAAAAAAGGTCTAGTAAAAGGCTTTTTTTATTTAGTTTGATTATTTTAAATGCAATGTGAGTATGTGACTGAGGAAATAATAGTAAGATTCACCATTCCCAACCTCATTTTTTCTGCACACTGTTATTAGTGTAAGGAAAGAACAGACGATTTGTGTACATATATGTTTGCCAGTACCAATCTATGTGGTCCTCTGCAACTGATTCTGATTAAAATCATGGGAATGAGAGATTTCGCATGTGCCTGCACCTCAACCCTTCACATGCTTATTTCCCTCCTTAAATCACCAAATCCTCCCAGAGGAAATAGAATTTTACAAGTGTTTGTATTGTTTACAACAAGCTGTAAATTTAAGACCAAAATGCATCAACTAATTAACTGCGTTCCAACGGTCGGCTTCTGGAAAAATCGAAAGAAATTTACAAAGTGCGGACATTTTCTTTCGATAAGATTTGGTAAAAGCAGGGGAAAAGTCATCTGGTGAAGCCAACATTTGATGAAACTGGATCACATTCTCATTCTCCATAAGGATTAGAGTGATGATGAAATTCCAAAAAAGTGTAATGAATATGTTAATGAGCAAGGGAGAAGCAAAGCCAAAATTTCCTGAGTTACCTAAGCCATGCACACTGCCCAAAATGGTCCCCAACCAACACCAAGTGGTTCATTTTGTTGTTATAAGTTACATGGACCGACTTTACATACTTGTATTTTATTTTATATATGCTCTATTTGGAATGTTTTTGGATCTATTCACCACCCAACTAGTATTTGATTACTTGTATCAAGATCATGGATTTTGAATAACGTTGGAACAAGGTTTTAGTTTTACCTTAGGATTTACATATGATGAGTTGGCTTTGCGAATACTTTCCTTTAATAGAGGACAATGAAAAGGGAAAGGAACAAGGTTTCGTATGAGGAGATCAAATCGAAGTCCATTTTTTACGGTAATTTTTCTATTAGGGTTGAACAGTCATACTTCTTTAACAGATGTACATACTTTCACCCTCAAATGTCATACTTTGAAGTACAATTGTAAACAAAAGTATGCTAATCTATAGGAAAAGTATGATTGCGTAATAGTATCATTTGTGCATATTTTAAGTGAGGTTTTGTTCGACCAAGACTTTAACATTCTTTTTCCACGACAAAATATTTAGAACCATCAAGCATTTCAAGTTGTTTGCTGATAGTATGTTATAAACAGGTTGCACGGCACCCTTTTAGCAGATTCGGTGTCTGCTAAGACCATCATTTTTTCATTCAAAGCATAGCGCATATAAATCATAGTGTAGTGTAATCTAACATGAGAGTAATCGACTATTTGACACAACTTAAAATTCCAAAATTGACAACAAATTAAACCATAATTTAACATAAGATGTATTTTATTACAGCTGCAGTTGTGAATGTTTGGGTGATATGATCATCATTATCATCTCAAAGGAACCTTAATCCAACCATTTGCGAAAGCAATTGCTAAGATAACAAAAGGTGTTGACATACCAAATATGATTATGTAAGGAAGAGGGGTTTTCATAGGATTTTCCCCTTCTCTTTCACCTGCTGTTTGCCAGTACCTGCATTTTCATTTCTCAAATTATTTTAGGGTGTCAAACAATTAGGCCATTTAACCTCATCATTACTTTATTTACATCACACTAGTGCGTGGCCCGTGCAATTCACGGAAAAACAATATTACGATTGTATTATAAATTAAATATATAAAAAACATTAATCATGATTCATCTATTGTTTTAAAATTAAATCGGATTGAACACAGTCCGACCGGATGGACTGAGAACTGGTTTATAACCAATCTAGTTCGCTTGAATAAAATATTTGCTCTCGAATCCGTCAACACCAGTCGGTTGGACTGATAGGATCGATACGATTTTATAAATAAATTTTGTTATATTTAAAATTATTTTAAATAAAATTATATATTTAAATAAAATAGAGATTATAAGTCATTTATCAATTAGTTTAAACATTTGAATTTATAAATTGTTAGATATTTAAGTAACACATTTTATTTAAATTTATCACAAAAAGTACTATATATATTAAAATGCTTATAAATTAAAATATGAACAAACTATAAATGATTTAATAAAATAGCTTGATCGTTTCGATGATGGTCCAATTCTGAATACCTTATATTTACTGTACATTAATAAATATTATAATAAAATATTATTTAATTCACATAGATATTAATAAAATGATGTATAAATATTCATAAATCATTAAACATGTTTTCATAAAAAGTATTGTTAATACGATTATTTGAAGTTTGGATTACATCACATTCACGTAATAAAATATTTTCAATATAAAATTTATATTTAAGTTCAATAATTGATTTGGTGTGGTCGAACTCATATATAACTTAGTCACCTGGGACCAACCAAGTTGTGTCAAGTTTTTTTACTATTTTAAATATCATCTAAAAGTAATTCAATATACAGTACCCTAATTCAATCACCTGATTGATCCGAATAAATTTTCTTATTTTCTTTAAATATATTTAATTTTATGAAATAAAAATATTTTATGGTTCATATAACAAATGTCTACACCAATTGATAGTATATTAAGATTATAAATTATATATCTAAAGATGAATTAATTATTTTTACTTTATGCATATTAAAAAAAATAAACATAGTAATTTTTATAAAACTAAGATTAACTGATTGATTTTGCAATTTAAATAATATTTAGCGTTCAATATTTTTTTTAAAGGCACAAATATAAAGACTGAGATTCTAAAACTTTTATTATATTTTGAATTGAGATTTTATATATATAGAGACCGAAATTTTAATATTGTTCGTTGTTTCTAAGAAAAAAATAAAAATAAAAACATACACACTTAATAAATCTTAGCCGAATTTTTTAAATAATAAAATAAGCTAAAGTTTGAAATTTAAGGTAACATTTAATGCTGTATGATTTTTAAAGAAAAAAAAAATAATAAAACTTACTATTTATAGGCTGCATTAAATTCTTACTTATTTTTTTGATACTATTTTTGGTAAATGGTAATTCTTATTATATATATATAGATTTCAAAAAATCACTAACTATTTTATTACTTTCATACTAGCTACCCCAATTTTAATTAATACATCCTACATTAATCACATTTTCTAAGTTACTATTTTTTCTCCTCAAAATTATTTTCCATATGACATTCTTTTACTGAACGAATCTTTTAGCTAAAAAGCAAATCCAAAGACAAAGTGTCCAAGTGCAATTGCCCAAATGCACATATATATAAAATTTAACTACCAACATGCTAATTTTTCAATACAATATCATTTTTAAAATAGTTTGTTACAAAAGAAAGAAAAAATAAAAGCAAGAAAATTGAAGCCCAAAATGTGAATGGGGTAAAAACAAGAGAATCAATTAACTAACTGTTGAGGTTCTTCATCTTTGGTAATGAACTTCTTCTTGCCTCCTTTCTTCAGCTCCCCATCTCCTCCTCCTACAAAACATCATAAAAGTGAATTTAATATATATTGAAAAAGTACTGGATAAAAAAGAGGCATTTTTGGCAGACCTAAATTGGCAGAAATAGTGAAATCTTGTTTTCTTTTCTTGTTTCTGCTAATTAGGGCCTCTTTTGGTTGGAAAGGGAAAGAAAATGGCTTATTTGTTGGTAATTTAAAACTTGGGTTGAGCCCAGATATTAAGCTCATCTCTGCCGCCATTTTAACTGCAAATTAGCTTTCTTTCTGCTATATTATTATCAATATAAAGCGATAAAGCAAGAAGGAATCTGAAGGAAAGAGATAAATCACAGATAGACGTCAGGTTTTTATGTGAATGGATGAAAATTGATTTAAATTTTGTAACATGGAGGGATGAGATATTTTTCCACCCACCTTATCCAAATATTTGTGGCCGACTACCTCAACTATAGTACTGTCTAGTAAGTGGTAGCTC